ATCTATATTGTCACCTTCAAAGTTTACTACAGGTTGTTGTTGTTGTTGTCCTTGTTTAACGTCTACTATATCGCTAGACGTGGTCACTCGGTGCTCGTTTTCGCGTGGGTCAGTTTAGAGTCAAAAGGTCTCTCTAGGTATTTAACTCTTGGTGCCTTGTGCTTGAGTGAAGCTGGTTTACACTACCGCCCCCCTCCCCCATACAATTTTCAGAGGACACGCCACACTAAAACTCCACTGGTCCTGTTTCGCTGTCGTATTCATACCAACAAATGACGATAAATGACTTACAAACGACTTACGTGTGTGTTTCTGTTGTTGTAGGTTCGGTAAAACGCTGAATAGTCTTTAAAACCGGTTTGTTTTTCAGAGAAAAAGGTTCGAAACTATCTTCCTGCCGCTGGACAAAATGGCGGACAAGCACTGACATGGGTCACTGCTTCCGCAGGTGAAAGGTCAAAGTGTTCATACCTGATTACCCAAATAAAACAGTAACTGTCCGATTATACTGTTTGCATGAGCAGCGTTGCAATCTCATTCTCGAAACACTATATCATTTCCCAACAATAGCTTGAAGGCATCCAACGCGATTTCAGGGCAGCAAAACTGGAAATATTCTGAATAAGGCAATCTTTGTGATATTGACAGAGTGTTTCACATGAGCACATTCGACTCAGTATTTGATACTTTGGGCTTTTAAAACTACAGAAACAAGCCATAAGTCCTTTATTTTTTGGGTGGTACCCTAAAAAATCACCCCAGGGCCCTTCCAGTAACCATTTTCCGTTAGAATTGTGGGAATTTTTGCTCTCTGAGGGTCAATATACATTGGGATAGTGTGGTTTCACCTCAGTGTGTAGGTAAGTGACTAGAATATTGGCTTTGAAAAATCGGGTTTCCAAGCCCTAAAAACTGCACTTAAGCTGCATGTAATCACCGACAAGATAAATCCAAAAACAACAACAAAATAATACAACAGCACTTAGTATTTCATGTAGGTATTAAGTCTTTGAATTCATTTATTTCAAAATTGCAAAGCTACATAGAATCTTTACAGTTTGTGATTCTTTAAAACTTGATGTCAAGACCAATTCAACCTGACAAACATAGTAAAACACTTGTTTTTTTATTTATTTATAAGACTGGCAAAAAATGTCCAGACTATACATATGATATACAAAATTGCTAATAAACTGGTGCATGTACCAACTACAGTTGTACTAAGAACTAATACCAAGCTATATAGTACATAGTTACCTAATACTAAAGTTATAGTCCTTTTGAACTACTAGTATATAGTACATGTATAACATTGTGGAACTCACTGCCACTAAGTACAGCAGGGGCTTTGTGTATGAAGATAGGTTAGGCCTAAAAGCTGTCCTGCGTCCACACTCCCCAAACATTTATACAGTTTGGCTCCGGTATGTTTAGCCATTTGTGTGGCTCAATAGACTTTATATGTGGTGGAATAGTCCCACTGGTTACTATGGTTTCACACCAGTATGGGTCCTCATATGTCGGGTGAGAGCAAACCTGTAAGCCGTCCTGAATCCACACTTCCCACACTTGTAGGGTTTTTCTCCTGTGTGTTTAGCCATGTGTTTGGATAGAGTAGACCTGTCAGCTGTCCTGTACCCACACTCTCCACACATGTAGGGTTTGTCTCCAGTGTGCTTAAACATGTGTTCGGCTAAATGGCCTTTATGTGCAGTAGAATAGTCGCACTGGTCACATTTGTATGGTTTTTCCCCAGTGTGTTTAGCCATGTGTTGGTTTAAATCAGCTTTCCGTGCAGCAGAATAGTCACACTGGTCACATTTGTGGGGTTTCTCAGCTGTATGAGTCCAAATATGTCTGGATAGGTCGGACCTGTCAGCCATCCTGAATCCACACTCCCCACACATGTAGGGTTTTTCTCCAGTGTGTTTAGCCATGTGTCGTTCCAAATTGAATTTCTGTGCAGCAGAATAGTCACACTGGTCACACTTGTAGGGTTTCTCACCAGTATGGGTTGTCATGTGCCTGGATAGGTTACGCCTGTCAGCCGACCTGAATCCACACTCCCCACACATGTAGGGTTTGTCTCCAGTGTGTTTGGCCACGTGTCGGTCCAAATTGAATTTCTGTGCAGTAGAGTAGTCACACTGGTCACATTTGTAGGGTTTGTCTCCAGTATGTTTTCTCATATGTACTGAGAGGTTACGTCTGTAAGCTGTCCTGTATCCACACTCCTCACACATGTAGGGTTTGTCTCCAGTGTGTTTGTACATGTGTTCGGCTAAATCGCGTTTCTCTGAAGCAGAATAGTCGCACTGGTCACATTTGTAGGGTTTGTGTACAGAGTGTTTAGCCGTGTGTCGGTTCAATTGGCCTTTCTGTGCAGTAGAATAGTCGCACTGGTCACATTTGTAGTGTTTGTCTGTTCGCAGAGGAATCTCACAGCTTCTCTCAGCCATTTCTAAAAAAACAACAATAAGGCATAAGTAAAACAGACTGAATGACAAAGAAATGTTACCATAATAAACATACCCGCAATTTCATTCTACTTTTCTAAAGCAGCAGTACAGCAAGGTGTAAATTCTTGCAAGCGAAGTTCGTGACAAACCTTTTGACTTTAGTGACACTGCACCAGGGCAATGCCAAGAATTATTTGCATGTCTTCAAATAATGGAGGGACGACTTTGACACAGACCTTTCACAGAGATGAGGAGACCTACTCAAGTACAAGTAAGTACTTCAAATAATTTGCATGAACCCTAACATGAGTAAATTACTACTAGTAATTTTTTTGTAACTTGCTTGTGCAACCTACTATCAATTTTACAGCTTCAAACCTTCTCACTTTGGGCTCCGATTCCCATAGGGCGAAAACTCCGCCTCTTTAAACTGCATGTATAACTACCGCCCCCCTCCCCCATATAATTTTCAGAGGACACGTCACACAAAATTATAAAACTCCACTGGTCAGTTTTGCTGTCGTCTGTATGCCAACAAATGACTATACATGACTAAAAAACGTCTCACCTGTGTGTTTCTGTTGTTGTAGGGTCGGTAAAGCGCTGAATCGGCTCAGATTTCAGAAAAAAAACTATCTTCCTGCCCCTGGACAAAATGGCGGACCCAAAATGGCGGAAAATCGCTTTCGCAGGTGAAAGGTCAAATACTTCCGCCTGGTTACCCAAATAAAACAGTAACTGTCCGATTACCCTGTTTGAGCAGCGTTGCAGTCTGATTCTCGAAACACTCTACTATATCATTTCCCAACAATAGCTTGAAGGCATCCAACGCGATTTCAGGGCAGAAAAACTGGAAATATTCTGAATAAGGCAATCTTTGTGATATTGACAGAGTGTTTCACATGAGCACATTCGACTCAGTATTTCATACTTTGGGCTTTTAAAACTACAGAAACAAGCCATGAGTCCTTAATTTTTTGGGTGGTACCCTAAAAATCACCCCAGGGCCCTTCCTGTAACCATTTTCCGTCAGAATTGTGGGAATTTTTGCTCCATGAGGGTCAATATACATGGGGATAGTGTGGTTTCAACTCAGTGTGTAGATAAGTGTGACTAGTATATTGGTTTTGAAAAATCGGGTTCCAAGCCCTAAAAACTGCACTGGATGCCTGTAAGCTACATGTAATCACCAAAAAGATAAATAGAAAAAAAAAAAACAAAAAAAAACAACAAAAAAACAACGGCACTTAATATTTTCATGTAGGTATGAGCAAGGACATTATAATGTCTCTGGTATGAGATCTTTGAATTCGTTTATTTCAAAATTGCAAAGCCAGGTCACAGTTTGGGATTCTTTAAAACTTGATGTCAAAACCAGTTCAACCTGGCATAGTAAAACACTTTTTTATTTATTTATAAGACTGGCAAAAAATGTCCAGACTATACATATGATATACAAAATTGCTAATAAACTGGTGCATGTACCAACTACTACTAAACCTAGTACATAGTTACCTGATACATGTACTAAAGTTATAGTCCTTTTGAACTATAGAGTATAACATTGTGGAACTTACTGCTACCAAGTACAGCAGGGGCTTTGTGTATGAAGATAGGTTAGGACTAAAAGCTGTCCTGTGTCCACACTCCCCAAACATTTACACAGTTTGGCTCTGGTATGTTTAGCCATTTGTGTGGCTGAACAGGCTTTACATCACGTGGTGGAATAGTCTCACTGGTAACATTTCTATGATTTCACACCAGTATGGGTTCTCATATGTCGGGTGAGAGTAGACCTGTAAGCTGTCCTGTACCCACACTCCCCACACATGTAGGGTTTTTCTCCTGTGTGTTTAGACATAATGTGTCGGTCTAAGTCACTTTTCTCTGCAGAATAGTCGCACTGGTCACACTTGTGGGGTTTGTCTCCTGTATGGGTTCTCATATGTCGGGATAAGTCAGACTTTTGAGCTGCCCTGTATCCACACTCCCCACACATGTAGGGTTTGTCTCCGGTGTGTCTAGCCATATGCTTGGATAGATTAGACCTGTAAGCTGTCCTGTACCCACACTCTCCACACATGTAGGGTTTGTCTCCAGTGTGTTTAGCCATGTGTTCGTCCAAATGGCTTTTATATGCAGTAGAATAGTCGCACTGGTCACATTTGTATGGTTTTTCCCCAGTATGTTTAGCCATGTGTCGGTCCAAATTGCCTTTCTGTGCAGCAGAATAGTCACACTGGTCACACTTGTAGGGTTTCACAGTGACACCAGTATGGGTTCTCATATGTATGGCTAGAGTAGACTTGTAAGTCGTCCTGTATCCACACTCTCCACACATGTAGGGTTTTACTCTATTGTGCTTAACCATGTGTCGGTCCAAATGGCCTTTCCGTGTGGTAGAATAGTCACACTGGTCACACTTATATGGGTTGTCACCTGTATGGGTCCTCATATGTACGATTAGAGCAGACCTGTAAGCTGTTCTGTGTCCACACTCCCCACACATGTAGGGTTTGTCTCCAGTGTGTTTAGCCATGTGTTCGGCTAAATGGCCTTTATGTGCAGTAGAATAGTTGCACTGGTCACATTTATATGGGTTGTCACCTGTGTGGGTCCTCATATGATTGACTAGAACAGACCTGTAAGCTGTCCTGTAACCACACTCCCCACACATGTAGGGTTTTTCCCCAGTGTGTTTAGCCCTAATGTGTCGGTCCAAATTGCTTTTACATGCAGCAGAATAGTCGCACTGGTCACATTTGTATGGTTTTTCCCCAGTGTGTTTACACATGTGTCGGTTTAAATCATCTTTCCGTACAGCAGAATAGTCACACTGGTCACATTTGTAGGGTTTCTCAGCTGTATGACTATGAGTCCAAATATGTCTGGATAGGTAGGACCTGTCAGCCGTCCTAAATCCACACTCCCCACACATGTAGGGTTTGTCTCCAGTGTGTATAGACATGTGTCGGTCCAAATGGCCTTTCCGTGCAGTAGAATAGTCGCACTGGTCACACTTGTAGTGTTTGTCTGTTTGCAGAGGAATCTCACAGCTTCTCTCAGCCATTTCTAAAAACAAGTAAGCAAAACAGACTGAATGACAAAGAAATGTTACCATAATAAACATATCTGCAGTTTCATTCCAGAAAAGTATTTTCTAGCAAAGTTTGTGACAAACCTTTTGACTATATTGATACTGCCCTAGGGCTAGTGATGTATACCGATTCTGTATCAGAAAAAATTGATTTGGTACAGGTCCAAGATACCCAATCCCTCAGTACAGTTTACAGTTAACGATTTTGTTTTGACGCTTGGTTAACTTTATGTATTGTTTAATGTGTTGGTTTCATTGTTTTCATGTGTAACTTGTTGTCACGTACAGGGCATTCCTGAAAAGTAGTGTTTTAAATAGCACTGAGGTCTCTACCCTGTATAGATAAAACAGAAATAAATAAATAAATAAGTACCGTTACTTGTACATCTGTACACATTGCTTTAATCTGTGACCTAAAATAGGGAAATAGCTGGTCCCCCCCCCCTTCCATGGGTCCCAAAGACATGACTGTGTGTTTGTGTTACACACTGACAGTGTTAACTATGCTGAAAGATCTGTTGCATATTAGTTACGCTCCCTGAAAACTGTGTTCTGTTACCTTCAAACTACAATTTACACTACCGCCCCCCTCCCCCATATAATTTTCAGAGGACTTTACATTCGCGACACCCAAAAAAAAAACTCAAATACGAAATAGTCCTACCTTGCTGTCGTATTTATATCAATAAATTACTATAGATGATTACCAAATGTCTCACCTGTGTGTTGCTGTTGTTATTTGGGGCGATATAGCGCTAAATCTTCCTTGAAACCGGCTTAAATTTAGAGATTTTTCAAGTCACAACAAATTTTGTTCAGACGCCATGTTTGTTGTGAGAGTGACCTCTGACCCGATTCGAAATGCCAAAGCGGCAGGAAGATTGTTTCTCTAAAATCTGAGCCGGTTTTAAGGAAGATTCGGCGTTTTGTCGACCCTACAACAACAGAAACACACGGGTGAGACATTTGTTCATGTGTTAGTCATCTGTAGTCACTGGTTTTGGCAAAATACGACAGCAAGTCAGGACTAGTGGAGTTTTTTTGGGTGGTTGGACTTGGAGTACGTGTCCTTATGAGTTATATGGGGAGGGGGGCACATAAACTAGACAGGTAACAGTGTTACATACAGTCAATTCAAAAAACGTCCATATTTTTACAGGTTTGCGATAGCAAAACCTGTTCTATTTTACCTGGATTTTATGGGCGCCGCCATTTTGTTTCCCGTCATGCAATGGGGCAGGTCAAAGTTGAGTGAGGTGCATTGTGGGACCTGTCACAGGCCTACAGTGTAAGGACGACACCTAGCGGTATGTTTGGAAAGAGCAGTAATTGAAAGCCTACCTGGTTGTGTGTTCATTTTGGCAGAAGTGTATAGAGGCGATGGCTTTGACGTAATAAAGGCGAGTCTGATTGTGTTTAGCACTTGACGTAATTTTCTTAGCATGACGGGAAGGAAACTTGGCGGACCTAATGCGGCGGAACTTTAAAGTTGTTTTTTTTATGATGAGATGGTGAGGCTTTGGTATTAGTAGGGTGGTCTTGAGGATCTTGTCGAGGCCGAGCCTAGGGACGACAGATTGTCCTCAAGTACAGGGGTTAGTAGGTGGGATAAGTGGCATGAAGTTTTGGTATGAGTACACTTCCTGATTTCAAGTTCATTATGGAAATTGAAGTTTTTTTTCAAGCTTACCAGTCCATTATACAGTGACTGTATAGGCGTTTGTAAACGTTTTTACGACCTGCCTTTCAGGCTGCTTGAACTTAACAATGCCGTCGCTTGCGACTCTCCATCTGTCTGAAATCCCCTGTCCTCCACCCAACCAAGGAACATAATTGAAGTATCTGATCAAAACGTTAATTATAGCTCACTTTGAACCTATCCTGATCTAATCTAATTGTCATATCCCATAGCTCTGGTCATATCCATTAAATGACACCTTTTCCTTCTGTGTGAGGACTTCTGTGTGGGGTGAACATTTTTCCACGACATACTATACACTTGTGGGATGACCCGAGGCTCGGTGTGTCAACTCAACGGAAGCTAGCCTTGCCTACAGGTCAGCCAACTGCGCGACCCGATCTCCTACCTCTAATTTGCAGCCGTCAACTTCAATTGTAGGTTTTGCCCAGAGGGGCACGTCTGAGTCTACACATTAAGTTCTAGCTGTATAACCTCTACCAGACTTCAGGAGACAGCTCAGGAAAGGGGGCCTGCAAGGGGGGTCCC